TATTTTTTCCTAAATTAAAAATTTAAAATGAACTAAGTATTCAGTTATCAATTATATTTTTAAAATGAATTATTTAGTTATTAATTATATGTTTCTTTTAAATTACGTATTTATTTAATCGTTAATTATATTTTTAAAATTAAATTCTACTTTTTGAAATTATTTATTTAATCTAACTTTCACTTTCTTAAAATTAAAAAAATCGGAAAAATTCAAAATTAGAATTTTTATGTATCGCTTAAAATTAAAAATCAAAAAAAATCAGAAATTTAATTTTTTCTTTGAAAATTCAAAATTGAAGTTTAGAGGCTTATTAGGTTATTCAGTTATTTGAAAGTTAAAGTTGGAAAAATAAAAAAAATTGGAAATTTTATTTTTTTCTCAAAAAATCAAAAAATTAAAGGTTTCAATTTATTATTCAGTTTCTTGAAAAAATTAAAAAATTGGAAATTTTATTTTTCTTTCCTGAAAAATTTTCTAAGTCTAAAATCAATCAGTTTCTCGAAAATTGAAAATAAAATATGAAAAAATTGGAATTTTTTTCTCTAAAACTTTTAGAAATTAAAGTTTTTAACTAATTATTCAGTTTCCTGAAGTTTAAAAATTAAAAATTGGAAATTTATTTTTTTCGTAAAAAATCAAAAATTAAAGTCTTAAATTTATTATTCAGTCTCGTAGGTTACTTGCTTAAAATTATTTTATTTGTATTTGGTCTCAATGCCAAAACAAATTGAAATTGAAAAATTTTTTATGATAAAAAAACTCAAAAAAAAAGGAATTTTTTCAAAAGAACTTAATTCGTCGCTAACATGACGAAGGGGCTTATCTCAAAAATTCTCGGATTTGAGTTAGGCCCATGATAGTCGCTATTTATAAGTATATTTTCATATGAGAAAGTGGCGTATCTTTATTGCTACATTATTACGAGATAGATGACGGGCGTAACTCAAATTTGTAATCACAAAATACGACCAATAGGCGTAACTGGACTTACGCCTGTTCGCTGTATTACACTATATGAACGAATAAGTTACGCCCTATACGGGTCATGTGCGTAGGTATATCGTTAAGTATAAGTTTATTTTTTCCTAAAAAAAAAATTATATTTTAATATTTATTGTCAAAAATTTTGATTTTTGCAACCAAATACGTGAGGTCATGGTACAGAAAAGTAGCAACGATAAGATTTATTTTAAAAATAGTCATCTACAAAAAAACTACCATCAGGGCTGGAACTTTTTTAACGGATAGAGATCGTTATCCCTGTCGCTATGGCGCTTGCTGTCTTCTTCTCTCTTTCCGAAATCAATACAGAGGGGACGTCGATAGAGATAGAGAAAATATATCTTTTCGTTACAGAGTTTCAGCCCCAGCTTGCCTCAATCTCGATTTACCCAAAATATCAATAAAGAAATACAATGACCTTATGGCACTGTGTAGTGGAACAACTCCTATCATTAAACAACCAAAACATGTTTCTTTCTACCAGCAGTTGCCACACTAAGGACTTTGTATTAGTATGTAATGAGTGATTATTCTCTTAAAAGTTAATGTCAGATTGGTTTGTTTCATTTTTTGCGAATTTAGTAGAATAAGGCCCGGTTTATTCATCTTCAGACAAACTTGCTGGTAACTATCACCTAGATAAATTTACCGTTTTATAATTCTATTGGTCGGCGGATAACTGGCTGACCAATAGGATTACAGATTGCGTTTTTATCCGTCAAATTGCATACCTGAAGGAAGGTGAATAAACCGGCCCTAAGAATAATTGTTTATTGGCTTTCATCTCACACTACTAACTTATGTAGATACCATTGGTTTTAGTTTTTAGTTTTTAATACTATAACTTGAAGGCATTTGTTTTTTTTATTTTAAATAAACACTATTTTTTCTTATTTGTGTTTGTTGCTGCTTATAAAATTATTCGAATCAATGCTGATGTCGAAGTACTTTCTTCCTCAATATAATAAAGGTATTTCAACAAAAGGCGTAATTAAGTTCATATGTCTTAGAAAACTTATTTCAAAATAAGGCGAAAGGGCGTATCTCTTCTAAGGGCAATTTTAACCCTTTTGCTAAAACCAGAAATAATGAGACTTGACTCTACTTTATATATTGGCATTGATGCAATATTTTATGTTATCAGTATTTTTTAAGCAATTTGCAAAGTTAAACAAACCCAGATTAAAGATAATAAAAATCTTTACATTGGAATTACTCAAAACTTGAAATTTTGAGATACGCCTCTTCGTCTTGTTAACGACGAATTATGAAACACCAATTACAAAATACAATTTATAGGAAAAAGGGATTACTTACAAGGCACGATGCTTGAAACTGTAACACTTTTAACTTTGTACGTTGATGTTGTTGCTTCTTTTCTTCAGGTAATTTTTTCAAAAAGTGGAACGAATTGGATTAAACTTTTTCGAAAATTCAATCTCTGGACTCTATAGCACTCTGAAGAACATCCGCACCGACTTGCGCCAATTATATTTTCGATTCAGAAACTTGTATTTTTAAAAAACATTTATTTTATTAATTAAAATACAATAGTGACAATCGGAAAATATGTGGATCAAATTGCTACAGGGAGTGCCTGAAAACAAATGAACGCTCCTTACTGGAAAGCTCTGGCTTAAATAATAAATATTTGCTGACCCAAGCATTTTCCTATGCAGGTGGCGGTACTACCAGTGCAGTACCGATGATTAAGCAGTTTTATATATTTATTAGTATTGACATAGGCGTACGCTTATAATTAACATAGGAAAGGAGAATTATTAGTATAAGGATAACATAGGGTCTTACAATATAACTGGTACATACTTAAATATATTGCATTTCTCTCATCTGAATTTAAATTTTGCTACGCAAAGCTTGCAAAATTAATTATTGTTATTTTCTCGAGATCCTCTATTGCCATGTCGAGAAAATGACAATCCTCGATCTCTCTGAAATCCCTGATACGGAAATTGTTGTTACCTCGGTTATGATTATTGTTGCTTCTTAGAAAACGCTGATTATCAGGTACAGCTTAAATTATTATAATTAGGGTAACAGACCAATTAAGGAGCGATTGAGAAGTGTTTTCTCTCTGCAGGACCATCCGTCCACGCGATTCGCTGTCACAGCTCATCAGCACGGTTAGGTCCCGCAGAGAGAAAGCACAGCCCGGACCCATTTTTGGTTCCATCCCGGAACTAGGTATGAGACAAATAAAATTAAGACAGAGTCTCCATCTATTTTTCTGGTCGGCACACCAAATACTGCAACCAAGACACCTGGTCCCTGAGAAAGTTTTATCTCTCTGATATCGATATCCCACATGACAAAGAATCTGCTTGCCTTTTTGTGATAACCCGAGCGATAAACTGTCCAGCTTTTTGATGATAAAAAAATAACTGATAGATTATGTGTATTATGTGGCAGGTAAGTGTGTGACGAATGAGTGACAACAAACTTGAATCAATAATAAGCAAGAAAATGCAGACTTACCCCAACTAACCCTTTCGACTAGTGCAATCTAGTCCTCGTAAGTTAGCCTTTTATTTAAAAAAACAAGGCGGACGGGTTAGTTTGAGTAAGTTTGCTTTTTCTTGATTATTATTGATTCAATTTGATGTCTCTGTTTTGTTTAGAGGTCGCCGTTCCAAATGTCGCTCTTTCATTGGGTGGTATGAATAAAAACGAAGTACCTACTACTACTACAAGTATTAGTATATTCTTCGGAGTATTTACTTCACAAAGAAGCATTTACTAATTTCCAATAGTTTCGAAATGTAGTATCTACTTCGTTTTGGAGTAAATACCACGTAGAACATACTAATACTTGTAGTAGTAGCAAGTACTTCGTTTTTATTCATACCACCCAATATGTCGCTGTTTTAAATGTCATTATTCACATAATATGTCGCTGTTTTTTTTTTTTTTAATGTCGCTGTTTTGAATGTTTCTACCTATTTTAATATGCCGCTGTTTCGGATGTCGCTATTATGATATATGGCTTTATTAATATGTCGCGTTTTTGATGTCGCTATTTCAAATATCGCCGTTTTGAACCGGTAGTGGTAGGTACCCTAGCCAAAAACTCTAGAAAAAGGATAAAAACCCATTTTTTAAGTTTTTTCATATATGAACCCTTATCTTATACTTATTCCAAAGCCAATTTGAGGCAGTTTTCTAGAACACTCTGTTAAAACATGATTGTAGTAGTAAGTGGTACCCCACCCCAAATCTCGAGAAATAGCATACAAGCATTGCCTTTATTGAGGTTTTTGTTATTTTCAAAACTAAATTAAGGAAGTTTTCTAGGACACTTCGTTAAGTCCTCGCTAAAAGATGGTAGTGGTACCCCATTCGAAATCTGGCGAAAAATGATAACCCGATTTCTCTTTAGTTTTTCGATAATTTCAACCCTTCCTCCCATACCGATGCCTAAACCAATTTCAGACAGTATTCTAGAAAACCTTTTTAAATCCCTGTTAAAAGATGGTAGTGGTACCCCATCCCATCCCATCCAAACACAAGAAAAAGGATACATATTTTACTTTTATTGAATTTTTATGATATCCCAACCCGTAATACCCCCTTCCGATTTCGAAACCAATTCAAGTCAAGGGATCATCCTAGAACACTTTGAGTCCCTACTAGAAAAAAACGAAAATACATAAACAAAACCACACCCAATCATTCATGAAATTCCTGAGGGGAATTTTTATTTCCTTCATAAATTGAAGAGGTTAACAGTAATTTTGGGATTGGCAGAGGCAATATGTGGTTCCTAATTGTAATGATCTATTCTAGAAAACTCATTAACTACAAATTACCACTAGTGACCAATGTGTGTACCTACCGGTTTTATATTAGATTCATTCAACTCTGGATAGCGAATATCCACCATGAGCAACCTACAACCCAGCCACACTCGCCGAATAATACATGTGTAGAGCCAGCTTCGTGATAAAATATTTGCAAAGATAATTTAAAAAAGAAGATCTATAAAATCAAAACTTTATTATTAAATAATCGAAAAAGTTATTCACAGGTTTCCGATTTAATAATAAACATTAAATTAAAGTATTCAATTGAAAGGAGACCTTTAAAAAAAGATTCTTAAAATCTACTACTTTTTAGTTCAAAAGGTAAAATTACGATTTATCTGGAGTTTTATCTGCCATTATCGCTTTAATATCTTCAGCATCCAACGTTTCGTACTGCATCAGAGCCTCCGCCAGAGCCTTGTGCTCTTTTGCGTGAGATTTCAGGATTTGTTTGGCCCTGTCATAACTTTCCATAAGAATCCTTCTAATTTCGTTGTCGACCTGAAATTAAATTCTACATTTTAGAACAAGGTATGTGAAGAAAAATTCAAGATATTAATTCGAATGAATCAAAGTATCTTATACATATAAACCCCCACTGGCAAATAAAAAAAAACGAAACTACATTGAATTTGTGATGTCTTTTGGAATGTTCTGTTACACTGCGAAAAAAATTCCTGTCAAACCGTGTTCTGTACTGGTCGAATGCTTTTAGATTAAGCTAGGATGATTTCTTCATTAAGAGTCTTGATGAAGAAATCTTCCAAGAGCAGGCTTGACAAAAACCCAGACAATAAATGGCAATATGGTTCATTATCTCTAGTTCACTACCAACTAAAGAACCAACTGTAGTAAATATGTGTTGAATTGAAGTAGTCACACCTGCACTAACCCAAACAATAATGCCATAATTGATTATTTATCTATTTATATATTTATTTATTTATTTATTTATTTTATTTATTTATTCTCATTTGAAACACAAAATTTTTTGTAGTTAAATTAAAAGAGTGCTTAATGTCAATACTACCCTACATACATATCTATGCTAACATCAAAAAACAAGTGAACAAACAGAAAAAAAAAAGAGAAATACCATCACAATCTGGTAAAACAATTTAAAAAGACTAGAAGTTGGCTTCAAAGGCAAGTTTCATCTCACTTACTGAGGAACTAAAAAAGTCTATATCACATTTTCTTATCACAATATTACATTCTTCTAACATTTTGCTCATTGGTGAACAATTAAACCCATTGGTAAAAAACAGTCCGAAGTAGTAGTAGACATTCCTGGCTAAAAAACATGCTGTTCTGGGGAAAAGCAGTCTCTGAAGAGAAGCAGAACATTATCATAAAGCAATCTCTCAAATATTTTGGAAACTGAGTTCAGAACACTTATAGGCCTATAGTTCACAAAACATCTTACATAATTTTATTGATGTACCTGATCTTTCAAAAGATATTGGTATTTTAGTTCCATTAAGAACAATGAGAGCTAATAGATTGTTTAAAGTGCAATATCATCACACTAATTACGGATTCAACTCTCCTCCTTCAAGGATGTGTCGGGAAATTAATGGGCTGCTGGAGTGGGAAAATATGGATGTTTTTGATGTGAGCCAAAATAAACTACCTACTCAAAACGAAATAAGGACCACTTATAAAAGCACCTTAGCTTTTATTCAATTTTGAATAACCTAGGTAAAGTGACTATTTCCATTTACAATATAGATAAACAAATAAGGTGTGCAAAAAAAATTATATTGTAAATGGGGAACAAATACTTCACCAGGGTTATTCAGAATTCATTAAAAATAAAGATTTTTTTAAAAGTGGTCCTTATTACGTTTTGACTAGTTTAGTTTTAAGATTAAAGTGAAGCATTGTGTTAAATTATCATTTTAAGTTTTTATCTTGTAAAAAATGTATGGATTGTTTATCTATGTATTTTCTTTGAAAAATTTAAATGACATTGTAGAAGCATATTAATTGTTATGTAAAGAAAGTGGATTTTCCGGTAATTGATCATTCGCTGGGATTTCTACTAACTGCTGTTCGCCTGAGCTGTGCTGTTTTGTTGTGGTGTTTCTGACGGGGGTGATTGTTCCGATTTATTTATTGTTTGCGGTATGCATAGCTGCATAGCTGTTCGTCTATCTCTTCTTGATCTCTTAGTTCTTTCGACTGTATTTCATGAGTTGTGAGCTGTGATAGTTACAGCAAGATCAGGGTATTTTATGGTAAAAAGTCTGTTTTCTCGAGTTGAGTTGACTGATAGTAACAACGTATGATGAAATGTCATTTCATCATTGCATGTCATGCGTTGTCGGATTCGTCCTGCCTTGGTGGTTGCTAGTTGTTCCAGCAAAGCATATAGGGCAGTTCCTGGATTTGTAGCCTGGCCTTCGTTACTTTGGTCGAGCGATCTGTTTCCATGATGGTCCTGACCATCGCGTAGTTCGTCTGGAATTATAAGTCCCTTTTCAGCTGTATCGGTCTTTTTTGTTTGAGGTGTGAGTAATACAAAGTGACCGCTCTCACGATTTCCAAACAAATATTGTAGGTAGATCATTGTACTTTAATGTCTTGTATTCATTTGGAAGTTTATTGGAAGTTTTGATAGCAGTTAAATAGCCACTTCTAGTAAATAAATTTCGATTCCTTTTTGTTAAAATTAGAGATTTGTTTCTAGTGATTACATAAAGTTATTCTTTAGATCCTCATGATGGTATAAAAGAGACTGTTCCAATTTCAATGGAACAGTAAGATTGTTAGCACCTTTGGCTTTAAGTACTATTTTCAGTATTTCCAGTAATATTTCTTGCAGAGTTTTTAGTATACCTTTAACATTGTTATATGCACCACCAGGCTATAATGCCGTAGTTACATAAACTATGAAAAAAAGCATAATAGACACTCAATAGTGATTTTGGATGCATCAGTTTAGCTAGCTTTGTAAATAGAAATAATAAATATTCAGTCCTCTTGACAACGTATTCAATGTGTATGTCCCATGTCACTTTCCAATCAAGTTAAATACCTAAGTAATCAAACCTCTCAACTCTTTTGTATTTGTATTGTATAGCAATTAGCCTAATCTGACTTCAACTTACAGAACCACAAAAAATATTTAAAGACATAAGTTAAATACAATTAGAAAATATTACCAACACTCAAAAATACATTTACTTATCATAAAATCTCACCAACAGAATAAAAGGTATGTTTCAAGAGTAGACATTTCAATGTCATTTCAAATCTATTCTCGTTTCCAATATTCCTAATATCCGCAGGTAAGTGATTCAATGTTTGTATAGGCAGATTGTAACGCAGTATGAGCTCATGAGTCGAGAATACCTCATCCATTGTTATATAAGAATTCATATTATTTCTCACATAAATACTACATTGTAAAATGGAATGGAAACTACAGTCAATATTTTTAGTTCTTTAAATAAGTTTCAGCAAGAAATATTGTACTACTTCTTGAATATGATGGTTCTAATGATTTTCTTCTGAACCATAAGACAACAGAAAACTCACCTGAGCCCGATATGAGAGGAAGATATGTCGTTTCACGATGGATCTTAGCTCCCGAATTACGTGAAAAGTATTTTTTTTGCATGAAATCTATTTGTTCTCGATTAGGATCCAAAAAGCTGGTTGAAGGGGACTTCTCTATGAGGGCATTATTCGTTTCAATAAATATATTAATATCGCACTGTCACAACCCTCTTTACGTATCCAGCCATGAACAGAGTAGACGCGGCAACACTGCTTGGTGGTATGCAGTCTCCCTAATCGTGTAACAGCTGATGAGTATTTAACCTCTAAAACTGTTGTTTATAGCTTTTTTTTAATAAAATAAGCTGAAAATATAGTTAAATTATAGATAGGAATTGTTGTTAGTGAATAACTAACTAGTGTTTGTAAACAATAATAGTTCCTGGACCTAAATTCGTTGTGTTTCGAAGCTTAAAGTGAACAGTTATGTTTTACTGGTACCTACGTTCCCCTAAAATTTTTGAATTTAATAATGTATTATGCCGAAAACGTGCTGTGTGGCTGTGTCCCGGGATGCAATTGATGCAAATTCAATCATGAGAGTACCCTTAAACAAGGTAAGACAGCTGTTTCTACATTTAAAATTCCAAATGATGGTGATTTAAGAGAAAAATGGTTAAAATTAATCCCTAGGGATAACTGGACACCATCAAAATATTTTGTTGTTTGTGCTTTACTCTTTTCGGAAATAGCCATTATTCGCGAAGATGATTATCTATCACTATAATAAGCATAATTTGGTATCCAACCACATCTGTTTATATTTAAATTCATATAGGACCTACCTAGGTGTATGTTTCTGCTTCTTTGTATAATTCGTTAGATGATTACTCGATGATTTAGATTTGTTCTGTTTTGTAAAGATGTTGCTAGAACTTGCCCTTGAACTGGGCCTCAATAAAAAGTACCTTTTTACTATAAATAAAACATTTAAATTGAAAAAAAAAAATATTTTTTATCCATAACTCCTGTTAAACTGCCAAATTAAACTGCAAGGACGCCACGCAACAAGCGACAGTCCTACCACCAAGTCATTGATGATGCAGTGTTGCCACATGTTTGTTCATGGCTGGATACGTAAAGAGGGTTGTGGCACTGTTTATAAGAAAAATCACCACTTCCTTTCACTATGCAATATCTATCTCTTTATAGTCCCAGAGACGGCTGCAGAGAATCTGTCGTCATAAGGTGGACGAACGAAAATAATATGAATATTAGTTGAGGCACTAATTAAGAGAATACGCGAAGGTTGCCTGCGAAAATCCTGCCGAAACAGTGTTTTTCAATTTTTTTTATTAGATAAATAATTACAGTAACTATCTTTTAGAGGTGGACATGAAATGAAATCACTATGTTGTAGGAGAGCGTGAGGCGAATTCAACCATATAAGGCTGCCTGCCCCCACCCTGCCCCCACCCTGCCGCAACACCCTTGCAGCCTGGCTAAAAAGGTCGGTTTTTTATCAATAACTATCGTCATCAGGTGGACGCATAAATTAGGTCTCAAATTAAAGGTCTCGATCTCCTCTTTCCATCAAACTAAGGCTGCCTGCTCAAATCCTGCCGAAAGATGTGGTTGCCTCGTTTTTAAAGTTTCCGGTACGTGCGCCGCGCGCTAGGTATTTGCGGAGCGCGAGGTGTTTAGTGGCGAAAAAGTCGTCTACAAAACACCGAAACGAGTTTTTATTTTTGCTCCTTGTCACTTTGTGTTACTTCTCATATTTAAATTATTGATAAGGATCTATAAAACAACACGTCAGGATCTAACACAACGCGCCGCGCGCGTGCTTTTTGCGAAGCCAGGCCTAGGAATTCCACCCTCTGGCCGCTACGGCTACCACCGCAAGTGCAGTATCTAGACGTAGAAGTCGTCAAGCTTTCATTTCCGATTATTTTTTTTTTTAAATAAACGTGAAATTCGTGCTTGTTTTAAGATGAATTGTTTTCTCTATAGGAAAGACAATGGAGTTGTTCAGCAATTTTCTAATGCAGCGTTGAAAAAGTGCATAAATTTTATTGCTTATCGTCGTGAGAAGAATTTCAAATACAAATATTGTGAAGGACTGCTTTTGTAATTTTTTTTTACTTGCAAGTTTCCTATTGACAGGTTTGTTTACAGAATCGTGACGTCAAAAAAGGTAGCCATCATGGAAGTATTGTTTTGGCGGGAAATTTTTTATTTCAAATTTATTATTATTTTTTGTGTAACAAGAGCGGTATCAGTTAAATAAAAACTGGTCATATAAATATTGTGCAGTATACACTATCGATTTAAAACAAATTTGGAAAATTTTAGTTCACTTGCAAGTTCCCTATTTTCAGTGATTAAATTCCCAGAGAAGAGAAAACCGGTCAGCAAAAATCTGTTGACCGTCTATTCTCGAATGCGAATGCGAATAAAACTCGCGAAAATATTCATCGATATACTATCAGAATTTATATTTTGAAATTTAGTTAGGAAATGTCATCTTTTTGAAATTGACTTTAGTTGTCAAAAGTTGTTCATTTTAACACACACGCCAAAATAAGCAGGTGTTCTAATACAGTGTTAAAATGAGATCTCATTTCATCCCTGAGTGTTGGAATAGGATTTAGAGTGCGTTCCGCGTGAGTGTTAAGATGAGTTTATAATGGCCGTTTCCACCAACTATTTTAGGGGAGCCCTAACGATAAGTATTCCCTAAACTGACATTTTTCTATATAAAAATGAAATGTCATTTTAGGGAATACTTATCGTTAAGGCTCCCCTAAAATAGTTGATGGAAACGGCCATAAGTATTTTGAATTTTAAATATTTTGAATGAATCACAAAAAATACTGTATGAAACACATCGCAAGGCTGGTTTTTTGCACGTAATGTGTTGGACCAATCTTCACATGAAGCTTTTGGCAGTTGTGAAAATTATGGCTTTTTAAAAATTAGGTTTAACTATTTTTAAATTTTGAAATGTAGGAATATATGCAACTTGAACGTACTTTAATAAACGTTTCTTGTCAAAAAAGTTCATACCTAGCGCGCGGCGCACGTACCGGAAACTTTAAAAACGAGGCAACCACATTTTTCGGCAGGATTTGAGCAGGCAGCCTTAGTTTGATGGAAAGAGGAGATCGAGACCTTTAATTTAAGACCTGATTTATGCGTCCACCTGATGACGATAGTTATTAATAAAAAACCGACCTTTTTAGCCAGGCTGCGAGAGTGTTGCGGCAGGGTGGGGGCAGGCAGCCTTATATGGTTGAATTCGCCTCACGCTCCCCTACAACATGGTGATTTCATTTCATGTCCACCTCTAAAAGATAGTTACTGTAATTATTCATCTAATGAAAAAAATTGAAAAACACTGTTTCGGCAGGATTTTCGCAGGCAACCTTCGCGTATTCTCTTAATTAGTCCTTAGCTAATATTCATATTTTTTTCGCTCGTCCACCTTATGACGACAGATTCTCTGCAGCCGTCTCTCGAACTATTAATTTTAATTTTCAAATTCATAAGCAAATTGAACAATTTTACAGTGACGGAGTAAAATTTATTATGACCTATAAAACTGACTTTTTGTCTTTAACTTAGCACAAATGTTTTTAAAATGCAATGCATAGCAAATCGTATAATATTGAATATTAAATTATGTATGTGCTGAAAATAACCATAAACAACTGGGAGTGGGAGTGGAACAACTTTGATAATACTTGGACTATGCGGTTCAAGGTATTCTGGAAATTATTAGAAGAAAAAACTAGTTATTTCACAAAAAATACTAGTACTAAGTCAATCAACGTGAATTTAGGTGACAATTGCAGTGTTCAATATTTTTTTCCTATTCAAAGATCTCTCCCCGAACTTGATCAAAAGAAGGAAAAAATCGTTCAACCAATTGTATTGAAAGCTTATAAGATGTCAACAATATATATCTGGAAAGTTTGGAAACGTTCTCAAAAGAGTTTTACAATAAAAATAAAAAAATGATTCCTAGGTCACCTAATTTACCTTAGCACTGATTCTAGAAGTTGCCCGTTGGAAGTTACATAAAATTAGAAACTGTTCTAATTTTATGTAATATTTTCTAAGAAATAAAGGACTTGCCTACATTAAAAAATACTTACAGTTTCCGTTGTGGACGGTCCCAATTGTTCAGGATGAAAACTCTTAGAGTTTTCCGATATGGTTCTGAGACCTAATTTCTCGGACATGCCCCAATCTTTTACCATATGCGTTGCAATCGACGTAGCCTGTTGCAAATCAGAACTGGCCCCAGAAGTGATTTTTTCTGGTCCAAAAACCAATTCTTCAGCGGCCCTGCCGCCCATCATAGTGTCCATCATTGCCTGCAATTGGGATTTAGTCACATGGTAACGTTCCTTTTCCGGAATGTATGCGGTGTGGCCCAAACTAGGTCCGCGTGGGATAATGGTGACTTTGTGTAACGGGTGGCTATCTTTGGTGTAGAAGGCTACAATTGCATGGCCACCCTCGTGGTAGGCTGTAATTAGGTTTGCTTCTTCATCAGGGATGCGGGATTTTCGTTCTGGGCCCATGAGAACTTTGTCACGGGCAGATTCTAAATGTTTCATTGAGACACTATCAGCGCCATCCATTGCAGCTCTGAAATTTTTAGGTTTTTGAAAATATGTTGAGCAGCACCTATACCATATTGTATTTTTTCTTTTATTTTCTTTCATTTTATTTTATTTTATTAATAACTTTAGTTAGGTTGCGGGATCGTGATCTTACACACTATGAGTATGTGAGCAGCAAAATGTTGAAAGTAATCTGGTATTAGCTAGAACCGAGGCTATAACTAATTAATTTATTGTAATTATTATTTATTTTTTAACAAAACAAAGGTGATTTGGAAGTTTACAATTTTTATAAAAGACAATTTATAAATATGTCACTCAGAAACTTAATAGAACACAGCCAAGAAACGGATTTTTTTAAATGGAATGATTTTTTTGTGCTTTTGTAAGCGTTGTTCAGATAATATAAAGTAAAAACCTACTTTATTGATGTCAGCATTCTCAGCTGATTAAAACCCAAAAAATATATAATAGGTGATTCAAGAATATTTTCTTATTTAATCAATCAATCAATATATGCTTTATTGTAGAAAGAATAAAATTCTCATTTACAAAGCGGACATCTATAAGCTACACAAGAATACTTGAGAAATACTGAATAAAATGATAAAAAAAAAATACAAAAAAGTACCCATGTATAAAAAAAAAATTGAAAACTATCAAAGGGCCATGAAATTTAAAAAAAAAAACACAAGAAAATAAATAAAACTATAAAGAACAAAGCAAAAACGGAAAATGTGCAAAAAAGAAAAATACCGTCATGCAGGCAAAATCATGCGCTTTTCGTAATACAAAAACAGAATGGATATGACACTGAGCACTAAAGCCCCAAAAGGCAATACCATAACAGATGTTAGACTCTATAAGTTCTTTGATATCGGGTCTTCAAAAAAAAAAAACTATCGAAGATTGCTTTGATTACGAAAACGTATGTCGCATTAGTGTTTCTTTATTGGTCAGGATTTTTGACATGACATTTTGACATTAAAGTTCATTGACAATTTAAAGAAAAATATTGCTAAGACATACGTTCGAAAAACCATAGCAATCTTCGATTGGTTTTTTTTTTGAAGACCCGATACAATTCTCACTGCATAACATGCAGATGAAAGTTTTTTATTCAACTGTGATATGTTCTGAAAACTTTAATTTGGTGTCAATATGTAAGCCCAGAAACTTTGCAATTGGTCTATTTTCAATAATGATGCTGTTCAGTAAGGATACATCTGAAATTGAACATTTAAATGTAAGAATGCTGGTTTCACTAATGGCGGGTTTATACAACATTTGCATAGTCATAATCATAATCATAGTCATAATCACAGTCTTAATCATAAGCACAATTTTGAATGCGTTTATACATCATAACTTTACATAAATATAACACTCAACCCAACTTTTGGTAGAGAGAGTTTTGTTTACTTTTTGAGAATCGAATTCAGTGTATTTACTTTTTCAAAGTTTCAAAAAGTGTGAAAATTAAAATTCTGCGAAAGAAAACCATACAAGTGATATAGTAGAGTGGATGGATTAAAATATTCGCTTTAAAAATCGATTTACCTCCCACTTTTTTGTCACAAGCTGAATTTTTTAGGGATGAAAGTACTTGACAAGGTAACTCTTATTCCGGAGGTAATACAAAATTGGACTGTGCAAAAGGGCACTATCATCAAAAATCGAGATATTGATACCACCGTATAGAGAAAAAAATACTTTATTATTGGCCCAATACACAATAAGGTCTTTGTAGGGAGTATTTTTTTATAATCATTCAAAAAAAATAATTACCATTAGCTCTTATGGCCGAAAAAAACTTTAAACGTAAATATCTCGGTTTCAAGCGTGCAAATATTTGGTTAAAAATCATCTTTTTTAAAAATACCTTTCATTTAACGGAAAACGAAGGCTTAAATGGAAAAAAAAATTCTTTATAAAAGTTTCGCTTGTGTATTGTCTAGATAAGAGTGCAAACCTCATATTCTTTGCTTCTAAATTAACAAAGATATAACAATATACAATAAGAGATGTCAAGGGTTTATGGGAGAGCAAGATCGGACCGCCAAGTTTCTCGACTCACTATGCATCTCTCTCAGTGTTGATACGTATGGGATCTATTTCACTCTCTTACATTATTTTCTATAGGGATTATTAATTTATCCAGTTGAAGGCGAAGAATGTTTCATAGGGTGTATGAATTAACAATAATTTGCCTTTGAGGAAAATAAAAAATAACAAGATAAATTAATCATATGATCAAAATACAATTAAAGGGTGTTTCACGAACATCGAAACAGATGCGTTTTAGGGTATTTTAAGGTCAATTAAAAAAAAAAAACATTTGGACACGTCAATTTTGTATTTAAGGGAGACACTTTTTGACCCCATCGTTGGTGACTATCACTCGTCTTTTTTAGATAGGGGAAATGTATTAAGTGGTACTTTGTTTTAAAGGTATTTTGATTCTCATCACAAGTGCGTTTTTTTTTTTTGAAAATCGAATGATGAGTTTTCAAGATATTCACTGTCAAAGTTGCCAAGGGCTAAATATGAAACAATTTTCTTGCCCTGTTATTTTCAAATTAACACTTTCCTTTCGGACACGTCAATTTTCATTTTTTCAGAAGCACTTTTCTAATAATTTCAATTTGTTTCTATTCATTATATCACCCTTCCTATCAAGATAAGTAAGGTAGATCGAGGTCGAATGGTAGGTACTTTCTTTTAAAGGTATTTTGATTCTCGTTAAAACCCTGTATGTTATTTTGCTTTTGTATCGAGGCTGATTTTCACCCCTTTTATTATGATAGAGGGTGTGGGCTGAGTAGCATCTTGTTTCGAAGATCTTACAATTAACAACATTTTCTAAATGTTCAACAATGAAGGATTATTTTTTTTCTTGCTTTTTTATGTCGATAGAGTTGAAACTGTGTTGAGTCTCGATTCAGTAAAAAATATTAGAAGAAGTGTTAATTTGAGAATACCAGGGCCAGAAAATTGTTTCCTATTTAGCCCATAGCAACTTTGGCAGTGAATATCTTGAGAGCTAATCATTTGATTTCCAAAAAAAATACGCGCACTTGTGACAAGAATCAAAATACCTTTGTAACAAGGTACTGCTCGACCTATCTTCGGCATCTTTCCTATCTGAAAAGGAGGGGTTAAATTCACCCCACCCGATAGGGTCAAAAAGTTTCCCTCTTGAATACAAAATCGACGTGTCCGAGCGTTTTTTTAAATCGACCTAAAAATACCCTAAAACGCCTCTGTTTCGATGTTCGTGAAACACCCTTTATATGTATTTTGATAAAATGATTAATTTTTCTTGTTATTTTTTATTTTCCTCAAAGGCAATTTATTGGAAATTCATATACCCTATGAAATATTCTTCGCTTTAAATAGATAAATTAATAATCCCTATAGAAAATAATATAACAGAGTGAAAGAGATCCCATACGTATCAACACTGAGAGAGATGCATAGCGAGTCGAGAACTGCGGCGGCTGTCCGATCTTGCTCTCCCATAAACCCTTGATATATCTTATTGTTTATTGTTATATCTTTGTTAATTAGACAATACACACGTGAAACTTTTATAAAGAATATTTTTTTTCCATTTAAGCCTTCGTTTTTCGTTAAATGAAAGGTATTTTTAAAAAAGATTATTTTTAACCAAATTTTTGCACGCTTGAAACCGAGATATTTACGTTTAAAGTTTTTTTCGGCCATAAGAGCTAATGGTAATTATTTTTTTTGAATGATTATAAAAAAATACTCCCAACAAAGAACTTATTGTGTATTGGACCAATAATAAAGTATTTTTTTCTCTATACGGTGGTATCAATATCTCGATTTTTGACGATAGTGCCCTTTTGCACAGTCCAATTTTGTATTACCTCCGGAATAAGAGTTACCTTGCCAAGTACTTTCATCCCTAAAAAAATCAGCTTGTGACACCGAAGTGGGAGGCAAAGTCAAAATAAGTCTTGATCTACACCATACTAATAGGTCTGTCCTATTTATTTTTGAGCTTTGCTTCACTTATGGCTGTGGGGCATTCAATAAACAACTTCAACGAACGCAAACCATAGACAAAGAAGGTGCAAAGTGAGGCCCATCAATAAAGAAAGGCAGAAGGAAGGGCATTTTCATGACATGTGAAAGCTTGATGGAGACCAATTTTTTGAATACTCTAGAATGACTCAAGATCAATTTAAATACACACAGAACTAAAATAGCAGATTTGAATTGTTTTTCTCTGTGCCAGACAGCCGATAATGGCGCTTGCGCAGTTTGGATCTCGTCTTAGTCATAATCATAAAAAGTTAAAAGTTGCCAATTTTGAGTTATGCTCATGCTTATGCTTATGATTATGATTTGTGTATAAACGGTTCCATAAGAAAATATTATTTTAACTCTTATGACTAAGACTATGATTATGATTATGACTATGAAAATGTTGTATAAACCGGCAATAAGATTGAACGACAGGGAGTTTTAGAAGTACACCAATATTTCACCCGCCCTAAATACGCTGATACCCTGTTATTCAATGTGTGTGTGTCTTTTTCCCTCCTAAATATTGTTGTGTCGTCGGCAAACATTGTAAAACGACCACTAATTCCCATAGATACAATGTCGTTAATATATACTAAAAATAGGAGTGGGCCAAGCACTGAACCTTGCGGCACTCCATAATAATCAATACCAAGTGCATTAGATTTACTTGCATCCCACTTCAGCACTTGATTTCTTTCTGAAAGGTATGAATTTAACCACACCCGAGTTACTCCTCGGAATCCATACAGATAAAGTTGCCGCAGCAGTATTTTTGTTTTCTTGGACAATGAAGCATATTTACTACTATTTCGCGATTCATACAGTCGAACGCCTTCGATAAATCGCAAAAAACCGCCGCAGCCACCTCTCTTTCATTAAGACCCAGATACAAATGTTCGAGGAAACTAAACATTGCATCACCTATGCTCCCGCCTGCTTGAAACCCGAACTGAAAGCAGTTTAGTATAT